TAAACACTATTTTTTATTAGATTGTTTATTTACAATAATAATTTTATATTTACAACATTCTAAAAACTAATACAATTGCATTAAATTTGATATTAAAAAATTGAAATCTGATATTAAAATTAAAAAAATCAAATTTGATATTAAAATAAATATTAAATTTGAACTAATACAATTGTGTTAAATCTAATGTAATGCAGTATTTATCATTTACCAATTTATAAAGAAATAAATATGAAAACAATTTTTTATTCATAAATTTATAAACATATTTTAATAATGAACTAACTATAATGAAATCCTTATTATTTAACATTTTATAAATTTTGAATCAATTAGCAATTAGTCAATGTTTTATCAACCATTTGAATAAACAATATAATAAATAGTGTAAATAATCTTATATCCCTGAAAAACTAAATATACATAAACAAATCAATGAAATTTTTGCATATGAAATGTTAAAATAAAGTGTAAATATTGTGATTTGATATAAGTAAATAAAATAAATAAGTTATGGTGAAAAAAATAAAGTACATATATCCAAGAAAATTGTGAATGCTTATAATTCAAAATAAAATTGTGATTTATTACTATACTTTTAATATTATTTAAGTGTTAAGAATAGATATATTTAATTTGTTTTTTATGGCTTATCAACCCTTTGTGGGTTATTTAAAGCATATTTCAAATTGGAGAAAGTCACAGCCTCCGATGTTCTCAAGTGGACTCCCTCCTATCTAAATACTGATCAGGCTTGACACTGCTTACCTTAAGAAAGTATAGAATTTCATTCAAATTTTTAGTAAGATATTTAACCAGTATTTATTTTAATATTATTTTCTGTAAGTATTACCCTACCGAGAAAAGGGGATTCTATTAAATTATGTATGAAGTTCTAAAATGATTTTCACGATTATTCGTATTATTAATTTTCTTGAGCTAAGGGAGATAATTCATCAAACGTTTTTCTTGCTTTGGAAGTAAACAGTTTTTTTTTTCTCTCTTGTTTATTTTTCTATCTTATTACGATTATTATAAGTTATGGTTCCTATATATTTGTTCACTGCTTTCCATTGTATAATATAATGAATAATTATCTTGTGTCAGTATTTTAAATATGTGTTTATTTTTATATTTTTTCCCAGCTTATATTCTTCTTTTATATAATATGTTCCTCCACAGCTTCCTGTTCTATGTAGATCTAAGCAATATTCATCTTCTTACTATCACTCCCAGTATTTGCTTTGCCAATGAATTTGGCAGGTTATTCACTTGTCTCCTTTTGCCTTCAGTATATCCTATGTGTCAAATTCTCCAAGCCCGTCTTCCTCGTTATGTTTCTCAGAAATTTCATCTGTCTCTGATTGGAAGTGTCATTTTCATTTCTTACCTCAAGTCTCTTCATCTGTGATGAGATTGTTCAGCATTCACTACCATATATAAGGAGTGATATTACATGACATGGAAGTACCTACAAGCTAGTATCTAGAAGTACTATTCAGTTTTCCTGTCTGCCATCAACACAGTGTCATTTGCATATCTTATGTTGTTAAGGTTGTGCCCACCAATAATAAATCCTAGTAGGAGTTCTAGTCCTCTTAAGATTGCTTTGCGTAAATGTTAAATGAATACAATAAGAAGACACACCCATTTTTATTTTTTTATAACTTGTTCAATTAATTTTCCATATGCATGCAATTTGTTCCCTGTAAATAACCCTTTTATACTATCTATCTCTCTATCTCTCTATATATATATATATATAGAATGGACGTCATTATTTTACCTTGAGGGGACCCTTTTGACCAACACTTTCTCAAAAGGTCAACATTGGCAAGCAGCAGGAAATTAAGACATATTAGTAAATAATGAATGAGGAGGAAATATTGGAATATGATTAAAATAGATTTTAATTATAAATAAATTAACAATTAAAAACAAAATACAAAGTTCCAAAAAGAGTATAAAATAGAAAAAAGTTACTCATAATCAATTGATCAAATGTAAAGAATGAATAAAATGTTCCTTTTGTTTGCAAATGCTCGGTTGATGAAACTTCAAATGAACAGCCTCAAGAACTTGGAGATGGTGAACCAAATGAGCATTATGTAAAATGAAAAAAAATGTGTCATTCTAATCAACAGTACAATCGGGATTGTCCAGTAAATATTGCCCAATGTAGGAGCCATGCACTGCTTGAGTGGCTCTTTTAACATGACTCTGACTACTAGAATGCAAATAGGCAGGTACATGTTGCGTAATATGTGTTTCCAGGCTTTGATTAGTCCGTCCTATATACACCGCATCACAACGGCATTTAAATTTATATATTACTGAACTATTCTGAAAATAGTACAACCGATCCTTGTTAAAACGCTGATCTCGTCTGGAACACAGTATTCAACATGACAGCATTTTAGCACAAAGGAACACAAACCGAAATTCTGTCAGCAAGCAACTGGCACTTTCTGCCTAATCAAGGCAACTTCAGGTAAATTAGGCACCAGATAGGTCCTAGGACCACTGGTTCTTTAAACCGTCTAATTTTACTATCAATAATACATTTAATAGCATTAATTAGTAGGATAACCATTACTTTCAAAAATTTCTTGGATCCTTGTAAGGTCTCTGTTTAACAAGCTAGGAGAAGAAATCATCAAAGTGCAATGAACCTGGATAGAAAATGGAACAATTTTGCAAACCTTAGGAACAAAAGAGTTCCAACTTGTGTACAAGCCTGTAAAAGTGGGTTTATGAAAGATACTGGTGACAAAAACACCATTCTTGCATTCTATGAGAATGTTCTAGAAAGGGCAAAGTACCATCACTCTCAACTTTCATAGTAAACTGAAGGGATGGATGGAGAGAATTGATTTCTGCAAAAAAGTTAGTTGTGTCTCCAGCAGAATAAATTAAATTAAAATCTCATAATTAAAATCTATTTTAATCATGTTCCAATTTTTCCTCCTCATTCGTCATTTACTAATGTGTCTTTGATTGTTTCCTGCTGCTCACCAACATTCACCTTTTGAGAAAGTGTTGGCCAGAAGGGTCTCCTCAAGGTAAAATAATGACATCCATTCTATTTAAATCTATTTTCTTCTTCTGTGGGTACAAATCTTTGTTTTCATATGTATGTATGTATATATATATATATATATAGAGAGAGAGGGAGAGAGCGAGAGCGAGAGAGCCTATGTTGTAACCACATTAGACATACCAATTTGTTCACTAGCTCAGTCACTAAGACTACTTTCAAAATCTAATACAACTGTAAATGTCATAACATAATTTACTTATTAGAATGCACACTATACCAGGAACAATATGTGGGAAAAGTTGAATGACCTTTTCATTACAAAATTAATAATTATCAGATTCAGATCAAGTAAGCTCCCCACGAAAGATTATTACCTGTAGAACAAAATTTTTGCCTAGAAAGACATAATTTTAATAACCATGCAAAATTCACTATTATTGAAAAAATAGAAATAAACACAATAGATAACATTAGAAAAATACTAGAACATGAAGACAAATGGATTTTGCACCTCAAAACACTTTGTCCAGACAGACTTAAGCACAGATTAAACAACACAGATAGAATTAATATATAACCACGTAGATCAACCCCCACCCACATTTCTCAACCATACTAGACAGACACTAGGTGTTGAGGCCTCCTACGTACACACACTCACACAAATATATATACATACACACATCACACACACACTCCCCAAAAAATAAAAGATAGCATACACTTAACACACACATCCCCTTCCCAGTAACCAATAAAACTGTCAAAATGACTAAGGGGGGGAATTCTGAGACTCATGAATCTCCCAGCTTCTATTTAAAAAAACTTAAAAAAAGGCTATTTAACCAATACAAGGACTGACCAAAATTAATGATAAAAAAAAAACAAATTAAAAACTACAGACAAAGTTCACTTTCTTTAAAAACAGTCATTCACTCCTGTAGTTCACTGCTACTAACAAGCAGACATTTTTTTTCTCCTAATGAGGGCTATGCTGGCCAAAACTATTCAAGGAATCTAATTTAAATAATAAAACAAAAAAGTATCAATATACAACCCAGTGTGTCTAAAATTTTAATTTTTTAACATTTTTTTATTGTTCAAGACAGACACATACATATATATATATATATATATATATATATATATATATATATATATATATATATATATATATATATATATATATAATTTCACCCCATGCAAGGCAACAGAGCCACTAACACATAGGGAGTAACTGAGTGTGAAAGAATATAAGAAAAACATTAAGGAGTGAAAACAATAAAAGGATAGAAATTAAAAAAAAGAGAAGATAAGGATTGACATTACACTTAAATTTTTGAAGATCAAACTTGAGTGAAAAGCATGGAGCTGGAAGAGATTTCCACAAGCAAAAAGTGTGAGAAATAAACTGTTAACATAGAACTTACAGTTACATCTAGCCATTTTGACTGTAAAGTGATTATATTTTAATGATGATTATATTATCAATAAATAAATTTTGCCAGGCAAAATATGCATGGAAAACCCTATCAATGAACATAAACCCTTTTCAGCTTTTGGTTATGTCTGAAAAAAATACGGAGCATGCATGCTGTGAGCCTAAAGAGGCTAGTTCATTTTGGGCCAAGGTTGTGACAGGATGCTAAAGTTAGCTCTTCGTGCAATAGACACACATGGTGTAGACAGTGCACCTTACTCACTTGAATATTCACCAATAGAATAAGTTCAACTTTTCCTTCATTCTTTACAGAGACTTAAGAACATCCCTTGAAATCTTCTTTACATGAAAAATGTTCCCGATAGAATAAATATTTCTATCTTGTTTTGTTTCATTCTTGTATGTTTTCTCTTGGCACACAATTCCTGACCTAGTAAGAACAATTTGGTGACCACAAGAATAGCTGTTGGTTTCTTTACTTTCTGTTAACTTTACAATTCTTTTTTTTTCTGTCTTCAGGTGATTTTGCCAAAGTTCTGAGTCTTCGGGAACCAACTGTAAAAATGAGCAAATCTGCAATAAACCCTCTCAGTCGGATTGATTTGATAGACAGTGCTGAAGATATACAACTGAAAATCAAAAAAGCCCAAACTGACTGTACCTCTGCCCTAACCTATGAGCCTGAAAGTCGACCAGGTGTGACCAACCTGATTAACATTCACTGCGCCATATCTGGTCTTCAGCCGGAACAGATTTGCAAAGAGCACGCAAATCTCGATACAGGGCGCTATAAGATTTTCCTAGCAGATGTTCTTATTGAATTCTTATCTCCAATTCAAGCTGAGATTAAACGGTTGCAGGCAGACAAGGGTTACCTTGTCAATGTTCTCGAGGCCGGCCGCCAAAAAGCAGCACCAATTGCAGAAGCAACAATGAAGGAAGTTAAAAACCTCATAGGTTTTGCCATTTCATAATATCAATGTATATATTAGGTCTTTATCAATCTAGTGGGTATTCGGGGCATCTTTACCACCTGTACTGATAGCTGTTCATCATGAGGTGTATAGATTCTGTTTTAATTCTTTTATACTATGGATTGGTGAGACATTTACAATATTCTACTAACAAATTCTTGGCGATATTTAACATTCTTATGTCAAAAGATGTTTTCCCTTGACAATGCTATTATATTAACTATCTTCCCTCCTTGGCAATGCTATTATATTAACTATCTACCCTCCTTGGCAATGTTTATTGTTTGGAAAAACAATGATAAGAATTTTAATAAAACCCAAACATCTGAAAGTGAATTTATACATTTTTTTGTTCTTGAAAATTTACAACAAAAATATTAAACCCTATTTATTAGATTATTTATTCATAAGAATAATTTTATATTTACAACATTGTAAAACCTAATACAATTGTATTTAAATTAATGAAATTCAATATTTATCATTTACCAATTTATAAAAAATAAATATGAAAACATTTTTTTATACATAAATTTATAAACATTTACTAAATTATTAAAATATGTGAACCAACTATTCTAGCCGAGAGAGTCAAGTTCAAATTCCAGTTGAATCCATTACATTTACTTACACGTTAATACCCCTGGGAAAGGTACGAATCCTCTTCTTCTCTCCCCAACTATGGGGAAATAACAGGACAGACTGGATTCTAAAGCCTCGTATGGCAACTGGTCTACCGCAGAAAGAAATTGCAACCTACTGCAGGAAAAAATCTGCCTCATCAGTCACATCTTGAAAGATACATGATCGCCTAAGCATGTATCACGCATGGCGTATTATTTAAAGAAGTAAAGTGATACCAATGAAAAGATTTGAAATTAACAACTTTTTCCATTTCACTGAAACAGACATTAAACACAGGAGAGCATTATCAATTCATCTATCTTTTCTCTTTCTTTCTTTCCCCTTCCTAAAACCAAAGAGCACCTTTGATATAACTGACTGAACCAACTATAATTATATACTTATAATTTATCATTTCATAAAGTTTGAATCAATAGGCAATTAGCTGATGTTTTACTAACCATTCAAGTAAACAATATATTAAATAGTATTAATAAACAATCTAATAAATAAGTTGTGTTTATTATGTTTGTTTTCAATTCTCAAGAACAAAGAAAATGTATAAATTCATGTTCAGGTTTTATTAAAATTCTAATTATCACTTTTTAAAACAAACATTTGTCAAGGAGTGAAGGTATTTAAAATAATAGCAGTCTCAAAGGGAAAACACTCAATTTATGCAGACATAAAGGTCCAAGTTTGCCAAATTCTGTATAAGCTGTTGACACACAATTAAATATAACATCCATGCCTTGTCGCTGTATCACTAACAAATTCTTTCTACTACAGTGTGACCCGGATATAAGAGAAACCCGGATATAAGAGATTTTCTCACCCAAATTAGGATATAAAACAAAATAGAAACCCGGATATAAGAGAGATTTTTCTCAGGTCCCAAATTAGAGCCATACTTACCTAAACAAAATAGACCAAACCCGGATATAAGAGAAACCCGGATATAAGAGAACCCCAAATTAGATATAAGAAAGATTTTCTCAGGTCCCAAATTAGATATATACTTTTTCTCAACAAAAAATAGACCAAACCCGGATATAAGATATAAGAAAACCCGGATATAAGAGAGATTTTCTCAGGTCCCAAATTAGAGCCATACTTACCTAAACAAAATAGACCAAACCCGGATATAAGAGAAACCCGATATAAGAGGATATAAGATACTTCTAAACAAAATAGACCAAACCCGGATATAAGAGAAACCCGGATATAAGATACTTCTTCTCCGGTCCCGACAACTCTCTTATATCCGGGTTACACTGTATCTTCATTTACATTATTACTTGGTTTCTTACTCTCTCAATCTTGTGATTAAGTGAAAGGTTTGAAAGTTCATTGTTATCTTCTTTGTCTATTTGTTACCATATGCTCCTTTTTATAACATTTAATGAGCTTAACTTAAAGAAAATATAGAATAAGTTAGTTAGCACATATATTACACCCTGCCATTTCCTCAGATAAAGCACCATTCCTGCTTGATTGCTAGCATAGACTTGTAACAGATTGCTTGCTCCATGCTTACAAAACAGGAAAAAAATATATATCAAAGGTGCTCTTTGGTTTTAGGAAATGGAAAGAAAGAAAGAAAAAAGATAGAGGAATTGATAATGCTCTCCTGTGTTTAACGTCTGTTTCAGTGAAATAGAAAAAGTTGTTAATTTCAAATATTTTCATTTATATCACCTTACTTCTTTAAATAATGAGCAGCATTCATATTTATGATTATTGTTGCAATATTTTGGTAAAATTGTTAAGCTCAAATATTTAACAATGTAATTAAGGAAATTGAATGGGTATTTTATAGTTGTGGAATTTGCAAGGAGTTTATTCATTCATTAACTTAAGGATTAAAAATTAACATCAGAAAATTCAAAGGGGAACACAAGTTTGTCATTATTTCATCAGTTATCGGCTTATGGCCATATCATGTTGAAACACCAGTTCCCGTATGAACATGGAATTTAAGCAACATCAAGCCTGTTCAATACTTAGATGGGTGACTGCATGGAAATATCTGGTGCTGTAAGCATGTATATGCAGATAGTCTAATGGATAACAGCTCAGAAATGGAAATCAGAGTGCTGAGTTACAATTCCAGTTGGGTTCATTTTATTCACTTAAACCCAAATACTCTTGGGAAAGGTATGAATCCATCTCTTTTCCTCCCAGCTATGGGTTAATTAGTAGAACTTTATCAGTAAAAAAATCATTATTATCTCAAAAAAATCCTGACTATCTATTTTCTGGTTTTAAAAATAACCTGCAAAACTTTCCTCTATCGTAGCAAGACTTTATGAATTTAAGCACAGTGCTGGTTTGGCAGCAAGGTCTCATCATTTTACAGTTGAATTGGCTAGATGGAACTATAAATTCTATGCAATATTCTCTTGCATATCTTGTATTTTAACTACTTTTAGTCTTCAGCAATTTTTATTGTTTTAAAAAGTGACAATTAGAAGTGGAATAAAGCCTAAAAATATGATGAAAGTGAATTTATACATATTTTTTTTTGTTTTTGAGAATTTACAACATAAATAATAAACACTATTTATACTTTTTATTGGATTGGTTGGTAAACATTGGCTAATTGTCAATTGATTTGAACTTTATAAAATGGTAAATAATAAGGATTTCCCTATAGTTGGTTTACATATTTTAATAATTTAGTAAATGTTTATAAATTTATGAATAAAAATTGTTTTCATATTTATTTCTTTATGTAATAACTTGTTCCTAGCACTTATAATATTATGTCTTGTTTAGGCTACTCGCTGTGATGTCAATAGAAATTCTCCTCGACTGACTTCAACAGACTTCTTTTGACTCACTTTGGGTTCTTTATTTAAGGCATCTTGCCTAGTTCATTTGTGCTACCAGGAGTGTCTTATTTACTCCACAACACTTTATAAATTGGTAAATGATAAATGTTGTATTGCAATTAATATTTATTACTTTGAATTGTATTAGTTTTTAGAATGTTGTAAATATAAAATTATTCTTGTAAATAAAGAATCTAATAAATAGTGTTTAATATTTTTGTTGTAAATTTTCAAGAACTAAACAAATGTATAAATTCATTTTCATCATATGTTTAAGTTTTATTCAAATTCTAATCATCACTTTTTAAAATAATAAACATTGCCAAAGAATAAAGATAGATAAAATAAAAGTGGTGTCATGGGAAAAAAATGTCCTTTTGATGTATTTTTCTGAACACGAAGGTCCATATTTGCTGGAGTTTCATTTAGGGCTGAGTGAAACCCTTCCTTATTTGCTGTGATCTGTTGGAATTTCAACATTTTTTTTTTAAAAATGGTGGCAAATTGTATGGTTTTTGATTGAGATTTCTTAGTTCCACCAATTCTATGACCCACCATGCCACACACATTATAGTGAACATCATCTTCATTCCCTTCACATTCCATTAGTGAGATGTAAGTTCCACTCATGGAGCTTCTTCCCACAAACTGCTACTTTTTGGCACCAGCTCCCAAGAGGATGCTTCCTCAATAATTATAATCTTAACCTATTCAAGAGTAGGTGTAACCATTATTTCCCCACATATCCCAATAAACTGTGCCTCTTACTCTGTAACCCTCTACCTCGATTGGCTCTTGGACCTTGTGTAAGGTGAACATTGTAAAGAAAAAAACACTGCAATGAACAATGGGATCTCTCATTTTTCAGTGATGTCATTCTGAAGTTAGCATTCTATCATCTAAACTACACCAGGATTCATTTAGGCTAATTAGCATATTCTCTTGGGGAAAGACTGAAGAAGACTGGATCAGCCAAAATGTGAAACAAGCATCAATGTATTTGAAGATCATAGTTTTAAAAAAATAAAGAATGCAACCAGGACGTCATGGCAATTCACAGATAATGATAAAAAAAAGAATCTGTGGAGAGCCACTATCATGAAGGAACATTCACTAAAACAAGAGACAAATCTTTGTTTATAATCATGTCAAATAGATTTTGCTTACTTTCTTAGATAAAAAAAACTATCTGTTGACATAAAACAAAATCTCACACAATATGAAAACAATTCTATTTACTGCAAAACATTTTTATAAAGAGTAAAAAAAAACATTAAACAAAAGTTGAAAGTCTTTTAAAAGCTGAAGATTTTTTTTTTAATAAAATAATTCAGAGAAGTCGTTTGACTTTTTAATATTTACTGAATAAAGAATTTACGTAATTTCTAATTTCGTAAATATTTATTGAATAATCAAACACCACTGGATTGGACAATCCAGCGTTGATAAATATTTATTCATTGATTCCCTTTCAATGAATGTGAAACCGGGGAAACAAGGGAGATAACACGTAATATTTTCAAATTTCTGATTACTTGCCTTGAAAATTTTTTCACTGGATATTGTGCATGGGTCGTAGTGTCGTTCGAATCGAACTAACACTTACAAAATAATTCCTTGAACATCTACACATCTGATCCTACAGATAATTAGTAATGAGTTCGATCCTCACATGGTGACACATATATATGGCTTTGTTCCAAAATCAACCTCAATAAATAACCATAATTCCTTTCCTGACAGCTATGCAAGAATTAAAAAAAGATTGCCAACAGTAAATGTGGGGGGTAAAAAATAAAAACAAAATATATTGAGTCTAATTTCTGAACATGAAAGAGTTTCCAACTAAAAAGAAGCATCATCGTTTAAGAAAGCTTTCATTTATCTGTGATAAAAGGAATTTCTCTAAGGAAAATCACTGGTTTATAATTTATTAAAAAAAACATTAGTCAATGAATTGCTATCTTGAAAATCCTAAAAAATTCTTGGAAAATAAATTTCTATTGTAAAAATCATTGGTCAGTGAACTCTTTAAATTAATCAGTTTATTCCTATAGTAAAAATTATTGTTAAATTCATTTCAACTGTAAAAAATAATTGGCCTAATTTTTTATAGCGGAATCATTACAAATCTATGTTAATTATTAAAAACAGTTGTCAATTCTTTCCTGCAGAGAAATCTTTTGCAAATTAACTGTCTAATGAATTTCTAACCCCCACCAAGAAAAATCCTTAAAACATTGTCCAATGAATTTCTATATTAAAATTCTCAGCAAATTTCTAAAGTTAAATATTAAAAATTATTAGCAAATTAATTTTTATATGAAATTGAGTAAATCAAATGAATTTCTATAACAAAAACATTGAAAATTATTGGTAAACAAATTTTTATATGAAAATGAATAAAAATCGTTGGCAAATGAATTTTTATAATAAAATGAATAAAAATTGTTGATAAATTAATTTCTATAACAAAAACATTGAAAATTATTGGTAAATTAATTTTTTTAATAAATTTAATAAAAATCATTGCCAAATGGATTTCTATAACAAAAACTGACAATTAATGACAAATTTGTATGTGAAAATGAATAAAAATTGTTGGAAAACGAATTTCTATAGCAAAAACATTGAAAATTATTGGCAAATAAATTTCTACATTGGAAAATTACAAAAAATATCATTTGCACATTTATCAATAGCTCTCCTTCTCACAATAGTTGTTATTAATAATAATAATAATAATACTGCTGATGATGATATATTTTTTGTTTTACCCAAAAAAACAGACTGACTCTCTGCTTGAGGCAAATTTGTTTTGATTGACATGAAGAAAAGTCACATTGCCAAAAAGTATAATTCATCATTTATTAATGTTTTTATGTCTCTGTAATTGTCTTTTATTGCCAATATGTCAGATTTAATTGTTATTGAGATGGATTTACTTTCATGTACTTCAAGTCAATGATAACAAGTTTTCACTTGTGGTTTGCTTTCTTTTTTCCTTTTTTTTTTCTTTTTTACTCACTAAAATCGGAGCTCAGATTACTGTGTTATTTAGTTTTAACTTAATGTAAATGTTGGCATACAAGGCAACCTTTTAACCTTAAAACATCCCCCCCACCAAATAGAGGGCCATCTTATACTCCAGGTATAAAATGTGAATCTTAAATCCTTTGGTTTATGGTATGTTGTTAGTTAGTGAGATTTTTGATGGTAGGCTAACCCCCTAACCTTGATAACTATCGACACAAATATTTTGTACTAAAACAACTTAATTCACATTATTATGATAGGGGGAATGATAAATGTAGAGTATGGTAGTTAAATGACATTATCTCGCCTCCTTTTTTCAATGATGTTGAACAAAAACACAACTAGATGTGTGTCTAAACCAGCCATTTAAAATCGCATTCAAGAACTGGAACGAATGGATGGTTACTGAGGAAAATTTATTCAGGCCACCATAATAGCCTATCGAAAACATGGCACCCACTCATGAGGTATTGTAGATTGTGGTAGTTAATTAGCAATATCTCTCCACCCTTTTTCATTAGAATTTGAGTGAAAAGAAAATATATGCTTACTGAATTTATTTAATAAATTCAATATGATATATTTTAAAATACAATTTGGTGTTGGGTCATCTTGTATCGCAAATATAGCTTGAAACCTACTTTTTAACTTGAAAATGGGAGGGGGTCTTCTGTACAGTTGTCTTGTATACCAGCATATATGGTACTCTGGTTCATAAATTGGGTTGAGACAATTTTGTAAGATTGAATGTTGGGGTGGGGTGGGGTGGTGTGTTGTGGTGTGTTTGATAGTAACATAAAAGGAAACCAGATGAACAGAATATCAGAAAAGTTCTTCTCTGTGCCATGCTCCTACAGAATGTGTATGATTATGGCCCACCACAACTTCCTGTCTTTTGTAGCTCTAAGAACTGTCTCTTCACTATCCCTCCCAGTCTATGTTCTGCCATTCAGTTACACAAGCTTTTTATGTAGGTTACTCGTTTCTTACTGCCCCTCTTAACTTCAATATGTCTTGTGAGTATCAAATTCTCCAATTCCTCTTTCTTCAATGCATCCCACTGGTAAAAATACAAAGAGTATAATAAATGCATTGCAGGAAAAGTAGAAAAAGGGAAAGGGAAAATAAAAAGAGAAGAAAAGATGAGGAAGAAAAAAAACAAGTGAAAGAATTCTCAAGGAGGAAAGTGGAAAGAAAAAATAAAAAAGAAAGAAAAACTATAAAGGGGTAGAAGGAAAGTGAAAAGAAAAACTATAAAGGAGTTGGGGAATGTGAAGAGAAAAGATAAAAAAAGAAAGCGTATAAAAAAGTGGGAGGAAAGTAGAGGGAGATAGAAGGATTGAGGGGAAAGATAAAGAGAATGAAGTATAAAGGTGTAGTAGGAAGTGGAGGGAAAAGAACAAGAATTGGGGGGAAATTAAAAGAAAAAGATGAAAGAAGAAATATAAAGGAGTGGAAGGAAAATGAAAAGGGAATAAAAGGAAGAAGAATTAGGAAAGTTTAGAAAAATAGAAAAGAAATATAAAGGAGTAATGGGAAAATAAAAAGGGGAAGAATTATGAGAAAAAAGGATAAAAATAAAAGAGAAGGAAGAAAAGTAAAAAGGAGTGGGAAGAAAGTGGCATGATTTTATTTAGTTTCTTGTAAATAGATTATATTCATATTGTACATACTCATTAGGGATTTTTTAAATTATTGTTTTATTCCCCTCTGCCTCACAGACAATGAATTGTACATATGGAGACTATTTAGGATTTTCATAGAGACAATGAGGTATTATGGTGGATGTAGTAAGAAAGATAAGTAAGAATGCATTGTTTTGGTGTTAGGAATATTGTTTGTATGTTTGAGTCAGTGTTTGTGGCTAGCTAAGTTTAAAGTTATGACAGATGAAGACCGTCCTTTTCCCCATCCCCCATATTGGCCTTGTGCCACATTTTCTGTATATAACAAATAAATATCAGAAAGAAAGTGGCAGAAAGGAGATGAAGCTGGTTGAATACAGAACAAAAGTAGAGAAGGATGAAGAGAAAAAAATTGAAGTGTAGAAAAATGAACATAACGGAGAGGAAAGCTAAGATGGAATAAAAGGAAGAAAAAAGAAAAAAAATGAGACAAACATCAGACAAGACAAAAATTAACATTTCTTACTATATTTTTACATGACATTTTTAATTGGTATTTTTAGAACTCTCTTTGAACTTCTTGCTTTCCTGTCAACTACAATCTTCAAAAATGTAAATGATACGTCAGTCATCATCTGTCTACTTGAATTCTGCTCTTTTTATTTTCCTTTCACACTGTTTTCTTTTCAATTTCCTTCATTCACAGTAACCCCATTTGCATCTTAGTGGTTTTATTGCCTTGCTTGGAGTGAAATGATTTAAAAAAAGATAATATATATGTTGACCATGTTTGCCGCAGTCTCTGAATATGGAATCCAGTGAAGTCTGTAATCTGTTCAATATCAGAGGTCGGCAGTGAAAATTCAGAGAAAGTAGCAGTTGTTAGGTAATTCTTTAAGTCTTCGATATCAGGTTGGCAGTGCAGACAATTTGGGAGAAAAAAAATGGCTGCCTTTATACACGTCGCATTGAATATTTTGAGCTTCATGATTGGTTAACCCTTCTATTGGTGAACTATAAAATGAGTCAGCTCATTTAGGCTAGCTCACTAGTACATACGTATACACAAAAACTGCAACAATATATTTGTTATTTCATAAAAATGTCCTCTTATTCCATTAAAGCTTGTGGCCACATCACATTGAAGCCCCAGTTCCCATATGATCACTGAAGTTAAACAATGTCAAGCCTGGTCAGTACATAGATGGGTAAATGCTTAGAAATACCAGGTTCTGTAAGCTTAGATATGTGGGTGTTGTAATGGATAATGGCTTGGAATTATTAATCGAAGATCCAAGTTCCAATTCACATTGGGTTCATTGTATTTCCTTACATGCAAATACCTTTGGGAAAAAGTATGAATCCACCTCCTCTCTCCCCAGCTATGGGTTAATTAGTAAGACTTGTATCACTAAAACCATTATTATCTAAAGAAAAAGATTTAATACAAAAACATTTAGATTTTGACTTCCAAAATTAAAAAAAATAAAATTTTTTCAAAATTCAAAATATTTTAAAAATTTCATAGAAAAATATTTAGATTTCAGCATTGAATAGTGACAAGGCCGTTAAGGCCTGAGCCTTAAGATTTGGCTTCCAAAATTCACAAACAGGGATTGCAATTTAGAAAACTGGAGAAGTCAACTAAAAATCTCAATGTTGAATCTTTGAAAGTCTGTGATGGAAAATGATCCAAAATCTTCAGTCACAAAACTTACAGAAAACTTCAAAACATTTACATGGCCTTGTTGGTGATGAATTATTTTCCACCCTGCAACCCCTTTCCCACAAGTGAAAACTTGATAACCACTCATTATTTTATCATTATTTCTATGCCAAATGTTCAAATGGGCTACTTCATTCCACCAGTTCAGACCTTCACAGATAGAACCTGTCATGCCACATATACAGTGTCAAATCATCCTCATTCCCTCTATATTCTCAGCAAAAGTATACACCACTATTTTACTTGATTGTTTATTTACAAGAATAATTTTATATTCACAAAAAAGTATTTGAACTAACTTCAATGCAATATTTATTATTTCCTATAAATACTTACATAGGCATGTTTCTTTGTTGAGGCAGGACTGGGATTAATCTCACAAAGCGTAGTGGGTTCCATCAGACAAAAGAGTTGCCATAATGATTTGAAGCAATGTCTTACAAGGCCTGATGCCCAACTCAGACACTCACAGTAGTCCAAGTACACAAGTGTTTTATTAAGACACTATCTCTAGAAAGGTTGCCATTAAAGGCTTGAAACAAACATCATAGCCTTATATATATATATATATATATATATAATCGACTCTCCCGTCGCGTTCGACGTATGAGGGTCAGGCCGATAAGTCCCAAGGAAACCGACATCCCGACATCGGCACATGAGATTTGATTATAGTGGTGAAGGCCTCGTGCAGGACCAGCCACACTTTTTGGAGGGACGAATACAGAAACCTGGTGCACCGAATGCCACAAAGTTCCCAAACGACCCTCCATGCAGGTTTTGAATTCAGAGTTTTCCTTCTCCTAGACCAGTTGCCATCCAAGGCTATAGAACCCAGTCTGTCCTGCTATTTTACCCATAGCTGGAGGGAGATGAAGAGGATTCATACCTTTCCCAAGGGTATTAGCACGTAAGTGAATGTAATGGATTCGACTGGAATTCGAACTCGGCTCTGCGATTCCTCAATCCACGCCGCTATCCATTACTCCACCGTGCCTCCTCATATATATATCTGTGAAAATTTCTCAGACATTCAGACCGGTAAATGTTGTTTAATACTGTTTATTATAAACAGAGCATTTACTTAAATATTTGTATCTATAAAAAGAATGTATAAACATAAAAATGTCTTAAAATAATTGTCAGACTTTATACATTTCATAATGTGTGACGTCATTTGTTTACATTTGATACGCCATGAGCAGATATGAATGTATGTGAGAGATTCATAGAAGATTGAAGTTCAAATAAAGTAAAATTCAACCTTGCTAACCGAACGCTTCTCTGTGGCCAAATCGGTTAAAGGCATGTCAAGCTAAATGACAGTTCCATATAGGATACAGGTTCGAATCCTGTCAGAGGACGAATATTTTCTGTGAAAATTTCTTGGACATTGAGGCCAGTAAATGTTGTTTAATACTGTTTATTATAAACAAAGCATTTACTTAAATATTTGTATCTATAAAAAGAATGTATAAACATAAAAATGTCTTAAAATATATATATATATATATATATATAAAATAAATCCTAAAGCGCCACGAACAACCTAAATACTGTTTGTTGATATATAAAATTATACAAACTTATATATTGTTGTTATTATATATATATATATATATATATATATATATATATATATCAGAAAAGAAAATACATATACAAACACAAGGAAAACTGAATAAAAAGCTTTTAGAATTTGTATGAAAGAGGAATTGTTGCCAAAATACACAATTATATATATATATATATATATATATATATAGCAACCTTTCTTTCAAACATGTTTTGTTGACAAAGAAAATTTGATGAATTTTTTTTTTTTTAGTTTTTCTAGTATACTTAAATTTTCCTGTTTGGTGGGTATAAGGAAGTGTTAAAATTGTCGATAGTGTTTATTGTCCCAAATGCTCTTGGCTGCATCTTTAGCAATTTTTAAGTAGTTTTTGTCTCTTTTTAAGAGATAGTTGTGTGATTTCTATATAGTAGTAATGTTTATTCTGAGCTCCATGAAAGGAATGTGACTTGAATTCAAATTGGTGTCATTCTATTTAAAAAAAAACAACTTTAGCACATTATTTGCGTTGTTGAATAAAGTGAGATTAATACTGTAAAAAAAAAAATAAAAACCTACACCGATGAAAAGTGCATATAAAAAAGAAAAATTGTGAAAAATAAGCAGTCAATTGCTAATACCTCATGATGAGTGGATGGTGTAATTCCTGGGGTGTCCATCTACAAAACTATGGAATCAGGATGCTGAAGGTAACATCAATCAGCTAAGTGACAAACGTATTATTTATGTTATATATATGTATATATATATATATATATATATATGAAGAAATATAGTTTTAAGTTGTGCTATATTTATGGGATAAAGTGCTCAATATCAGAGATAGGGCGTATGAAAATATGAATATAAAAGTGAACATTGAAGTCAATACTCAGAGGCAACAAGCTGTTTCATGCTAGACAAAATTGTCAGGCGGCCTGGTGATTGCATCTAGCACAAAACAGCCTGTCACCTCTGAGTGTTGACTTTTATATATATATATATATATATATATATATATATATATACACACATATTGGTTCCTATATATATATATATATATATATATATATATATATATATATACACACATTAGCAGTTGGTTCCTATATATATATATATATATATATATATATATATATATATATATATATATACATTAGCAGTTGGTTCCTGTCACCTCTGAGTGTTGACTTCGATGTTCACTTTTATATATATATATATATATATATATATATACACATTAGCAGTTGGTTCCTATAAGAAGCTCATCTGCCCTGTAAAGAAATAATTATGAAAACAATTTTTTTATTCCTAAATTTATGAAAATCTTTGGGAACAAGAAATGCAATTCTGAGTAACTGTAATCATAAACTTTAAAAAAATATACTTTCCATCCATTTTTGCATTTGCTCTCGCTACATAAATTCACAAAAATAGTTTGTAAGCATCTGGATTTATACTTTATTTTCTTGAGAACTGACAACAAAAATGTTAAACACTATTAGACTGTTTAATTACAAGAATAGTAAAACCTTCTCTAAGGAAAACCAAGTTCAAGAATTTATTGACAATGTTTTCACATCAAAACACACAGAATTTTACAGAAATGGTATTGAAGAGCTGCCTGATAAATTCCAACAAGACATTGCAAATAATGGTGAATATATAATTGAATAATTGTACTTTATTCTTTGAAGATTAAAGTTGATTGTTGATCCATTCATTTTTTACAGTTTATCAACTTTTTACAGGTATTTTAAACACGAAATACACATTTATTTTTTCCAACAGCTGCAACATGTTCATAAGCACTTGGTCAAAATGTTGTTCTTTTCCAAGACAATGCAAGGCTTTATACTACAAGAATAACAAAGGAAAAAATCTTTGAATTCAGTTGGTCTGTTCTACTCTACCCACCATATTTATCAGATCTTTTGCCAACCAATTATATTACCTTTCCTCTCAGTCACTGCAAAATGATTTGATGGGAAAAAAAACTCTCTAATTAAAACCAGATTGAAGTATCCATCAAAAACTTTTTAACATCAAAACCTACAGAATTTTACTCAAAAGATATTGAAGATCTACCTGAAGGATGAAAACAAGTTATTGCAAATAACAGCGAATATATAATTGAATAAAATATTTTTTGAAGAATGAAAGTTGATACATAAAAACTGAAATTCTTTATGGCTCAACAGTAAATTTTGTTAGGAACAAGTAATTGACTATTTATTTTTGCTCAGCTTAGCACAAGACCACAAGTATGGGGCACCCAATGAGTGTGATTAGATTAATAACCATTGATTGATTGTTTTTTTTTCTGACTTTGCAGGTTATTTAAAGTTGGAAAATATTTTTAGATGGTAAGATTTTTTTTCATTATTTTTGAGATAATACATGATTTTTTTAAATGAAATATGGTTTAATGATACAAGTCTTACTAATTAACCCATAGCTAGGGGGAGAAGAGGTGGATTAATATCTTTTACATGGGCATTTGCATGTAAGTTAATATAACAAACCCAATAGAAATTGGAACTTGATTTTCCGATTAACAATTCCAAGCCATTATTCATTACACCAGCAGCGCATCCAAACTTCCAGCACTTGGGATTCCCAACTGGTCACCCATCTAGGTACTGACCAGGCTCATTGTTGCTTAATTTTGATGATCATACAGAAACTGGTGTTTCAAAGCGATGTGACTGTAAGCCTTAATTAATCATTAGTAACTTTTAGTTAGATTTACAATCAAGCTATCACAACATTTTACCCATTATGTCCCCTGGCCTTCTTTAAGTGTCTTGTCAATCTGGGTAACTTTTAGTGTATTTTGAACTGAAACATTCATGAATATTGGTGGAAATTAAAATTTGCATGTCAAACTTATTTGCATGGTCAAAAATAGACATTACGTAGACTACTACGGAACCAATTGTCAATCCTCATGAAAGAAAAATAATGCATGAAAATCCAGTTGGCTTTTTAAAAACAATAAAAATTGCCAAGGTAGCATACAGTAATAGTGATGTCAGGAGAAAACCTATCTTTTTAAAACATTCTTTTTTTTGGCAGGTATCAATGTGAAGCTTTGCTAGAATAATTATATGGAATAAACCGTCATTTTGACACACTGTTTTATTTTTTTGAGTATGAATGTTAAACTTTGCGAGAATAATTATACAGAATAATTACTTTGTCCCGTTAATTTTAAACAGTTTATTTTCTTTAAATAAATTGCCAATTTCATATTGAACAGTTTAATGTACTGAAGAGGTTGTTAGGCTGAAGGAAGTAATTCACTCCTGCATAAAATGACTTTTTTTTTTCTTGCTTTATTTTTGGCTGGATCATTTTCTGGTTGATATTGGAGATTTTATCGGATGAAAAAATGCCAAATGTGAAAATTATTAAGCCTAAATGAAAATCTGATTTTTGATTGTATCTGATCAACCAGACGACCCCCCCACACCTTTACTGACAGGTCCAAATTTGGCACCATTTGGAGAGGAGAGCAAAAATACGATAGGTCACAGGAAAAGAAATGTTGCAAAAATAAATTCAGAAAGAGAACAATTAAGACTTTTTGGCACTAGATCACCTATTGGCGTTGTTTAGCAAACAAAACTTTCCTTTTGCCTCCTATCCGAAAGCAGTTGACTGGAGCTGATGTACATCATTGTAGGCTTGTTAGTGTGTTACAGGATTTTGGCCTTCTTTAAAGTTTGTAAAACATGGAGAGCAAAATGTCTTACTCAGCTATCTGGACTATGATTTGATGACAGAAAATTTCAATTCAGTTGTCCTCCTAGACTTGTTCCTGTCCTACTAAGGCTAGAGAGTCAGATCTACTCTACTATTTTACCTATATTTGGTGGATGGGAAAAAAAAGATTGATTCATGCTCTTACCAAAGATCTCTGTGTGAAAGGGAATGCAAATAGCCTTGTCTGAAATTTGAACTCAGCCTGCTGATTCCATGTGCAAAACAAAAATTAAAAGTTACGAACAAAAGTACTATTTAATATCAGTTAACAAATACTAACACATATTCTTCTTCTTTGTGCTATGTTCCTTTAGGACTTGGACGATCATGGCTCTCCACAGTTTCCTATCTTTTGTAGCTGCTAGTAAATTTTGTCATTTTGCTATCTCTCCTAATCCCTGTTCTGCCATCCACTTACACAAGCTTGTTAGATAAGTTATGCACTGCTTTCCTCTCTTCATCTTGCCTTCACTATATCATTTGAGTATCAAGTTTTCTAAGCCCTCTTTCCTCATTATCTACCCTAGAAATTTCAACTATCTCTTTCTGATGTTAAGTATTGTTACTTGGCTTAAAAATAAAAATTATGAATTTTTAACAAAAGTTACTAGTTACAAAGAAAAGTAACTAATTAATAAGATAGTAGTTTCAAAAACATAAGTAATAATGTAACTAATTATTAACAGTCTATCTCACTGGGTTCCAGATATTTGTGGCCTTGAGCCAAACTAAGTTAAGCCTAGTGTATAACAACAGTTACTAATGATCACAACTATGAATACCATAACCCATTAGGGTCATAGATAGACCACATATATTGTAGGGGCACCTCGAGGCGGTGTAATGGTTAGCAAGCTTGGCTCGCTAGAACAATTACTACTGAGTAGTGAGTTCGATCCTCACTGGGTACCCCCTAATTTCAGCCTTGTGTCGCATCTAATCTACGCTTGGAAAATCACTATATTGTAGCACAGCAGGAGGTGGGGAAGGGTGTTTCTTCTATACTAGTTGCCACCCAAAGCTAGAGAAATCAGTCTATTTAGTCCATAGTTAGGTGAAGAAATAGATTCAGACTTTATCTGAAGGCATTTGTGCGAAAGTGAAAGTGAAAGCAACAAGCTTGTCTGGAATTTGAACTTGGCTCTCTGGTTCTACTTTCCATGCCAATATTCATTACACTATCCACACATCAAAAGTTACTAGTCCCTAAAAAAATTTATGAGTTATGAACAAAGGTATTATGACAACTATAAATCTTGTTTTGACGTTATGGATAATTCCAAGGATATGAAACCAACCTTTCCAAATGTCTTTATATTTTTGTTTCTGTGTTAATTTCTGTGGTTATATTTGAATTGGTTCTCTATTTTATGTTTCTGACTACCAACTTTTAACCAAGATAAAAGTTGATGGTCAAAATCTTAAAGTAATGAGCCAATTCAAGTATCTTGGCTCAACTATCAGCAAAGAGGGCAAAAGAATAGAAATAACTTCAAATGCATCACAAACAATGGCAGCTGCTGTAAAATTATGAGCTATCCACCATCAGGAAGAGAAAGTTGAAAATGATATGATCAAGTCATAAGAGCCAACAGCATTTGAACTACTATTCTATAAGTTACCACTTTAGGCAAAAGAAGAAGAAGAAGAAAGAGGAAAAAGTGGCCTGACAACATCAATGAGTCAACTAGAAGATCTTTTACAGAAACTCAGACACACAACTGAGACACATTGAGGGAACTGGTCTGGTGCTCAGCTGTGTGGTAACCCCTATGAAGATACCAAAACATGGTACTACTGATGATGTTAATGATGATGATGAAATTTTTCTGATGTCTTCAATAAAAAATGTACCAAAGTAAATTCATCATCATATTCTCATAGTCTGACTGACTTCCACAGATGATATCAGAAACCAACACCCTCCATCTCTCTGCAGTACTCCCATGACCATTCCCAGTTTGGTAGTGATGATGATGATGATGATGATGATGATGACGCCTCTAGCCTTCATCAGGTGTTTGATGATCTGGGTTACTTTTTGGGAAGAAAAAGGCCAGAGGACACAATGGCTAAAGCATTATTAAAGTGACAACAAAGATCAGGATATTAGTCTGACTGTAAATAATGATTTTGCTTATTTTTAAGATTTTAGTCAGAAACCAGATTCATGTGGAGCACCAAATAACCAATTCACTATTAATGGTAAGAAGTTTGATGACCATAGCTTATGTGAGCCCCAAGTACATTAAGGTGAAATGGCAGATTACCTCTGATCAGATTGTCTTTGTGTTGTATGGCCATAATGGACAGCAAGGAGATGATTGGTCCATCATTTCTTTGTAGAAGCCAAAGAGAAATCAATATGAAAAACGCAATTAATTTGTTCGACTGTGAGCGGCCTGAAATCTTTTTTCACTTCTTATTGCAATCAACAAAAATAGATGTTATTAAAGTGATGTGTTTATATGAGGGGGTGCTGAAAATTCTCCAGCCTGACCAAGATGGAATTTGTAAAATAAATTCAGATATTGGGTCAGATTTCAAGACATCGGGTGGACTGAGAACTTTTCAGTCTCTCCTCGTAATTGAACCAGGAACTTTTTCCACACCCACTCACAAGTGAACCAAGAATTTTTCAGCATTCCTTGTAATTGGACCAAAATCTTTTCTGCGCCCTCTCATAAGTTAGCTGAGAAGTTTTCAGCACCAACTCATAACTGTGTTTGATATTGTTATCAGATTGAGTCATAAGTAAATTCTGTTTTTGGTAGCCAATTGTAAAGAAAAATATATCATCCTAACTATAAATCATCCATAGCAGTTAATAATAAATTTGGAGTACACTAATATATAATAATGTTCAATGAAAAACACAGTGGATTGACAATAATAAATATTCACAACCATGGATCCCAAAAGCTGAATGCCATAGAACTAATGTGCATGCTGTGTTCACTCAGGACAGCGATCATGGCTCTCCTCAATTTCCTGTCCTTTTTAATACATAATAACTTTTGTGTTTTTGCCATCTCTTCCAAACCCAGCTCCACCATCCATTTGGTCAAGTCCACCAGGTGGTTTGTGTGTTGCTTTTCCTCTGACACTATCTTTAATCAGTCCTGTGAGTATCAAATTTTCCAAGCCTTCTTTCTTTATTATATGTCCCAGAAATTTCAACTGTTTATTCCTGATGTTAATCATATGTCCTTTTTGTTGCCAATGTCTCTAAAACTTCATCATTGCTCACATGTTTGTTCCATGAGAGTTCTTAAAACATACTAAAACACTAATTTCCCATTTATACATCTGGCAACTACAACATGTCCATAAAAGTTTGGTTGAAAAGTGCATTGTGCTCATCAGTAGGAAAATGTTGTTTTCCACAAGGACAATGCAAGACTTCATGCAGCAAGAATAATGCAGGAAAAAATTTTGGAACTCAGTTGGTCTGTTCTACAGCGCCCTCTATATTCACCTGACCTTGTACCAACTGATTATTAGTTTTTTTGATCACAGCAAAACATTTTAAGTGGGTAAAATTTTTATAAAGAAAATCAAATTCAAGAATTCATCAACAATGTTTTCACATCAAAACATACAGAATTTTACTGCAAAGTCATCAAAGAACTGCCTGATAAATGGCAACAGGTCATTGCAAAAAAATGGTTAATATATAAATGTAATTGTATTTTATTCTTTGAAGAATTAAAGTTGATAAACTGAGGCAGAAATGATTTATGGCTAAACAGTAAATTTTGTTAGGAATAAGTAACTTCCACCCTGTTGGCTGTGGCTTCAGAAAATGCCAACTTCACCTCTGCAGAGGGATAAGACTGCCTCCATGAGGCCACCTTTTGCCATGGGTGGCAACCCATAATGTCTGGGGGCAGAAATCTGGTGGTTGAGGGCTTCAGAAGTCAGGGTTAGATACTTCTGATTCC